ATTGTCACAAATACTCGTAAGCACCGCGAAAATCTTAAGAAAGCGAAATTTCTGGAGCGAACGCTATTAAATGCATCATTGACCAACGGCACTCCGGGGACAATAAGCGACAGGACACAGCCGAAATATTTATTTTGCCGAGCAATAAGAAAGGCCAGCCCGGTCCGGTTCGCGTCGGGTCCCAAAAAGTCGAGAATTGCTCATGTTTTACGCCACATTTGTCGGTACAAAAAAGTTGTCAACATAAAACGGTCATCCCCGCAGCACACCTCCAGATACCCACTCCTATACCCACACCCACACCCGCTCCCACACCCGGAAAAGCAACAGCAAGGGAACTTTACTTATAATAGAATTTTCAAGCATTGGTATAGTGTACCCTCATTGATGGTAGGGTATATTAATTTAATAAAGTATTTAGCAACCCACAAAAGAGTTTTACAATCCAATTAGTTCCTTGTTTGATATGTACACTAATTTTTGATTATTTTTGTAGATTTTTATTAGAGAATATATATAAAAATATATAAAATAAAGTTTTGAAGAACATATTAATGATATATTACAAAATTACTTTCCTTAGTTAAAACAATAAAAATAGGCCTTGAACGGACCGATCTTTAACCACTTCCCTTTCCATAAATATTGAGAAAATTTGTATTTAATAGATGAGTATCCACAAAGCATCTGTGGAACTTCCAGCCTATCTGAAGACCAGGTTGGATGGCAGCAGGACAGTAAGTATTACCATGATCTCTCTCCCTGTCTGATGAATACTCGTAGTTCCCGACGATGATAATAGTATATTTAAGGTTTCGGTCTTTGGCATCCGACCTTTGGAAGCTGGCTGCTAGCCACAAATTGCCTTTTTCGCACGTTGATTGATTTTGGAACTTTTCTTTTTGTCTCGGCCAGGACACCCGTCCTCCCACCCGGTCACACACTGAAAGACACTCACACACCGACAAAAGCAGCTCGACTTTGAGCACAAAAGAGTCCATAAAACGGCTGCAGTTTAGATTTTGCCGCAAATGCTGTTGGCCTTGCCAGGTGGCTTTGCTGGTTTCGATTTTGGGTTCGGGCTTGGCTCGGTCCGAACACCACATCGATCCCTGGGCCATCGCCTATAGTTGCGGAGCACATAATTATTTATTTACGAGTGTTCTTTCATTGATGAACACAAGCGCTGTTTGTATTGCTCTTTTGCCCACCGACCCAATGCCAAAATGTGAGAGTTCAGTCCGGGCCACCCGCTGCGATGAGCTTCCCAGCTCGCTCTTTGTTGTTGCCAGGTGTAAAAATAGACGATGACGCTGCCACAGTCGGAAAATAGAAACGGAAACATTCCGAATAGCCGCCGGGTAAGCTGTATTTGTATGTACTCCAATGTTAATCTCTACTTACATAAATATGAACGTACGAGTGTTTACATACGTACATATGTATGTATGTACACAAGTCCGACGGCCAATTTTATTGCTGAGAATCCTTATTTTTTGTGGTAAATGGTAAATGTGTGTTGTTGATGGGGGGGAATGGAGGATAGATGTAGAAAGTAGTTCTTAAGAAATCGGACATTAAGCTAACTAAGTAGAATACACTTAGAGAAAAAAATTCCTTGAAATTATACATTATATAGTTATAAATTAATTATATTAAATATTATATTATATTTAAAAATAAAATAAAATTAAATACCAATAAATTTATCTTCGAGAACTTCGAAAAAATTGTTTTCATAATAATTAATTAAAATAAATACAAATACTTTTCATATTTAAAATAAATATATTTCATTTTTTTGAATAAATATAAATATAAATAAAATTGTATTGGATTTCATCAATTGAGAACAGTTTGACCGCTTTGGCACAAATGTTTCTTTAGTTTTTAGTATTTACCACCCAAAATAGCGAAGAAATTGAATTTTGTATCATTTTTTGTACTACTAAAATTTGCGCCACAGCGAAAAGTCGCAGGGGCCGCTAATTTATTTAATATAAATATTTTCACATTTAGATACCAAAAATATATATTTTTAGTTCAAATTGGATATAACAAAAATAATTGTTTTATATTCATATTAAAAATGAGCCACATTTAATTGAAACATGTACATATGTGATTATTTTTACCATGGCTTTTTCATCTGAGTGAACTAAAACAATATAATTTATTGTTAATATCAACTTTTTGTTGGATACTTTCATTTGTCAACATTGCACAGAATTCCTCCAGTCCGTGGATGTGTCATAATGGAACAGCCAAGGCCGCCATTCAGCTAGTAAAACATTAATGTCGAGCATCAGGACAATACTGACTGGCTGATGGCTTACATCCCAACGCTTGGCAGTGCCAACTTTTCTCACTACAAAATTACTGCAATGCTAGTAAGGCATTACAGAACTCCTGGTAATAATTCACTGTCTCTCGTTGAATGATCGTTGCCGTTAAGTATAACGATAATCTGCAGAGTACGAGTATCCTGCAAAGTGCAGTCCATTAGGGCAGGAGAACTGCATTCCCCCCACCAATTGTTGATGTCGCTGACGTCGGACAGAATGCGTCCGAATACAGCTGAATAGCTGAACAGCGTGGGACCCATTGATATATATATATAGAACTGTATGCATAATTCACTTCATTTGGCCTGCAAGACGGCCTTGGGGGCCTCCGGTCGAGCCATGTTCATGTCGACCCAAACCTATCCATTACTGAACGCAGTACAGCAGCAACCTGTAGTTGCGTTGTGTCTTGCACAATGCTAGGATAATTATAGTTGCCCAGATTGTGCAAGGACCCCTCCACAAACCCTCGATGGTCTGGTCTTCAAATAAGGGGGAGAACACGAACAACAGAACGCTGGCATCAGCAGTCGGGACCGCCATACATATATGTATCTTCTTAATCGTTTAATTAAATAATTTAACAATCACTTAGATCCAAAGGATAATAATACAGGATGGGCAAAGGGAGAAGGCAGGCCTGTTCTGGCAGGGCTGTAATTGAAGTACCTGGGCCAGGATGCGGTGAAAAATGCGATGCGATTTGCATAAGTCATTACGGTGCACATTTCACAAGTGTGTCAGCTCCTGGTCCAAAACTTGTGCGAATGTGATGGGAAATTGTGCTTCACAAACAGGCCCTCATGTTGTAGTCCCTCCGCTTCTCGTCGTATAATCAGCAGTCGGTGTGGGTACGTATTCCAACGAAAGATAAAGTTGCACGCTGGATGGATGAATCAAAGTGAGGGCTTGGCTATCATGTGCACAAATTTCTGTTGCTTTCTGGCCCGGAAATTGTGTTAAACGTGCGAAAAAAATATGTAATTTTCCATTACTCGTCCTCAACGAGCCCTTTTCCTGCTGAGCTTGCGGTTTTTCTCGATCCATTCTGTTCCTTACACTTGTTGAGATGGGTTCTCCGCCGCTGCCTCCGCCGTTGCTTGTGGGCATTTTCCACTTAAATATAATGAGAAAAAAAACTTTGGATGGAAACCCCTTTTTTATTAAAGGTAAGCGAAGGCCCCCCACTGCTGCCTAATTGAACATTTTACTCGTGTTACGTCAAGAAGAGTGCTGGGCGTATTTTCCAAGCCATTTCAAGTGCTTGCGAGCGGAAAAATTGTGTTTGGGAATTCGATGCTAATGAAGCCAAAGTGGGATGTCTGAATCCGCTCAAGTAGCCTCAACTTTGACCTTTATTAGGAACCTAAAGCGAGTGTGGGAGGCTCTGAAATGTTATATTTTGTTACATTCGTCACAGAATTTGGGATCATTTCATCGGTTAACGAGTGCCAACAAATTACTAAAGCTATTTTGACATATAGCTCCGGCTACGTGTGGCCATTAAAATCCAAAAATTCCAAAGCCATTTGGAAGGGCAATTAAACAGTTTTGGGCCCAGGCCTGGTCAGGCCTGGCCTTAGTTTATAGGTCGGATTAGGCCATAAAATGTTGTATTTAAGACCCCATAAATCTTGATCTTGAAATGCTGTCGTCAAGGCACGAAAAACAAAAGCGAAATTTCCGCGTATTTAATAAATATTTCTCATAAAAAAAGGGTTCCGAAAAGGTATGCCGTGCCGCAAAGCCTTTAATCCGACGCCCACAAGGATTTTTTCAAGAGAGCAATACGAATGGTTGGTGGCAAGCCGATCAAACCGAACAGGAAATGTTCTCACCCTCTATGGACATATGGGAAATGGGAAATGTTCTACCTGAGAAAGTGCAGCCAGGTGTAAAATTGTTCTGACTAAAGCCTGCTACAAAAAAAAAAGAATTTATTCTTGGTAGAATATTGAATTATTCGGCATAAATCACTGCACTTTATTCCTCAACTGAATCCGTTGCCAGATAAACCCAGTCAACGAATCAGTAAATGAAATTCCCATTTCTGAGCTCTCTTGGGGGACTTGTCGACAACTCGTTTGGGCCCCAGAAACGCACAGCATGCGTGGCAAAGACGCTGGATGCCGCACACCCAAGTGAACACTGGGAGCCTTGCTAGAGCCTGCTAAATCGTTTATAACCGATTTCAGGTAGAGCAGCCCGGCCAGGCAAGACGTGCAGGCATCCGTGACACAGTAACAACCCAAAACACACACTGAGCCCATAGTGGCGTGGGTCATGCCATGGCCTGGGCCTGGGCAAGTGGCTGGGACTACGTGGCATTATAAAGGCAACTGCCACGGCCACTTGCGCACGTCGCAGTCAGCAGAGCAGAGCAGAGCAGGGCAGGGGAGAGGGGGGCAGAGCTGTGCTCCATATCCGGACAGAGCATGAGACATTGGCCATGGCTGTGGCAGGCGAGGCTCATAAAAAATTAAAATGTTTACGCTACATTAAATGCAAAGAAGGCATTGCCGTCAAATTATGATTTCGCGAGTGGCACACACACAGACACAAGCGCACACGTGACCTTACGACCCCACCGGGAATAAGTGCGTACCACGTGGCGTATGCGCAACGCAAGGAAGCATATGTACCTCGAGGGTTAGAGACAACTAAACCAATTTGCACACCTCCAAATGCAAATGTGTTTATTTTATGCGAACAATTCTGTACTTCCAGAGCATTTCCATGACAAACGGCTGGCGGCTCTCGGCCATTTTTACCCTCATGGAGAGCTGAAAGCGTCCGGGCGGATGGAAGGAGGGCAGTACCGCCATCGCACCCTCGTTCTTCAGAAAGTACACATTCGGCTTGATGGGGCACTCAAAGAAAGTGCCATTGACCACCAGATGCTTGTAAACGATGCCGAAAACTTTGCTCATTAGGGGATTCCTGAGGAATTCGCACCCGTTTATGTTTTCAGTCCTGTACATCACTTTCTGGGTCTTCAGCACCTTCCCGGTGATGTCAATGGAGAAGGCAGCGGCCGGCCGGGCCACGCGGAAGGTGTAGAGCAGCCCAGCGTCGGGCACCTTGCGAAAGTACTCCACATAGTCGTGATCGCAGAACGTCTCGAGGGACTCCATTATGAAGTTCATGTTTCCCTTCCTGAAGACAAGCGGCTTCTGAAAACTAATAGGTTCAGCAATGGATTGAGGAAACTTCTGGCTAATTATACCTCCTCCTTAGCAACCACAGCAAGGAGACAGGGAAGTACAAGGACACAGAGGCAAACACGAAAACCAAATGCCATGACAACGTACAATCGACTGGCATGTATCGTCATTTGCATTGCGGCTATTAACTATGCCATTAATGAGCAATTAATTGACCCCCAAACAAAGTCATTCAGCCAGAAAACAACACTCTTGGCAAAGAATGGTCAGAGAAAACCGGGGCTTATATACATATGTTCATACATACTCGTATGTATAGGCACTGCTCGTGTGGGCAGGCTTTATTTGATGCGCACAATGTTGTATATCCAGAGCATTTGCATCACAAACGGGCCCCGACTGTTGGGCATCTTGAGCCGCACTGTCAGCTGGTAGCGTCCCGTGGGATGAAAGCTGGGCAGGATTTCCACTGTGCCCTCGTTCTTCAGGAAGTAGACACCCGGCTGGATGGGGCATTTGAAGAAGCGGCCGTTGACAATCAGCCGCTTGTAGACATACCCAAGGACCTTGCTCACCAGCGGATTCTCGAGGAACTTGCAGCCATCCAAGTTGTCCAGCTTGTACATCAGCCGCTTCGACTTCTGCACCCGAAGAGCGATGTCAATGGTAAAGGCAGGTGCCAGCTTAACCACCCGAAAGGTGTACAGTGATCCCTCACTGGAAACCCTGCGGAAATACTCCACGCTTTTGCCGTCGCAACTGGTTTCCAGAGCTTCCAAAACTAACTTTAATCTTCCATTCCGGAAAACCGACGGCTGCTGTGGAAGAATGAAATTGGAAGACCGACCATCGTGATCTCGAGAAGAGACAAACCTCCTTGCAGGCCACAGCCGAAAGAAGGCCCAGAAGAGCCCACACCCATCTGCCAGAGCCAGCGATCATGTTGGACTACCCCCTACAATCATTCGTCCATTCAGTTTTGATCCCATCCCATTGATGGGCTATTAATTGGCAAATTAACAAGCGACAAGACCAGAAAATTGCTCAATTTCTCTGTGCCAAGTCAGGTGAGTCGTTGGCTTTTAGTGCCATGCCATGTATCCTTCCCCTGTTCACCCTTGATTGATGAGCCATTAGTGGTAATCTCTACACGAGTAAAACATCTATTTAGCACAGCTAACCATCTGATGGGTTGATGAGTCCACTTTGTACTTAATTGGGGACACGTTCCGATGGAAGCGAAATGGCAGAAACAACCACTAAACAATGAATGTTTGAATGTTGAATGATACATTACTTATAAGACAATATGATACCCTCTCAGACCTGTGTTTGTTGTGGTCCAAGCATAAGAGATTTTTAGGCAGCATTACTGCTTTAATTATTTGCTTTCTGCGCATTTTAGCAGCAATTATCATTGCGACAACAAGTTATTTCCTCATATATCGCCAGATGATTTCAATTGCAAAGGGTCCGCCGTAGACCGGTTTCATTCGCACAGACACGTGAAAGGTCCCAGCCGGAAGATACTGCGACACCAAACCCGTAGTAGCCCCGTTTTCGAGGTAGTAGATTCCCGGCCGAACGGGACACTTGATGTGCGTGGTGTTGCCCACGATAGCATCGTACCAGCGGGAGAATATCCGAGAGATCACGCGATTGTTTAGAAATGCACATCCGTCGAAGTTATCTATCTTATAGACGACCCGCTGCATCACCTCGTTGACGACTCGAATGTCCATGAAAATGTTTGTCATCGGTTTCGTTAAATTTCCGAGTACGCCCTTGGATTTTCCAGGATCCAAGCCAAAGTATTCTACGTAATTTCCATCATAATTAAACTCTGTGGACAAGAGCGTGGTCTTCATTTTGCGGCCAACACCCTACAAAATGCGAAATCGTCAACGCGGAGACTCTTGACGTGTCCGAATAGTACATACCGCGTCCTTGGCTTCAGTTATCATAGAAACCACACAAATACACACCAAAAAGAGGGAAGAGCGTTGGCCAATCATAGCTTCAACTGAATGTGTACTAAGCGTGGTTCATCCATCCTCTGGCCGAGGCAGCCTCAAACTGCTTCCCCACTAAATAAGCAATTAAAAACTCATAAAGATTATCGTCAAAAAAGCACTCTACAAATAAAACGATTGGTCAAAATATTTAAACGAGTTTCCCTTAAATCAAATTATTCACGTATCCCTTCTCGGTGGCCACCTTTCGGTTTATATTTTTTTTTAATTCCTGTCACTGAAAGGACAGTCAAAAAGAATGACAAGAGCTGCGGCTATTGATTGATTTTCGGTGAATTTCTTTTTCCACTGGTTTCTATTTGATGCAGTCGAGGAGGGGTCGGGTGGTTGCTGCCAAAATCGGGATGGAACAATGACAGTACAGACCAGAGTGGTTTATTCTTTCGTTAGATTGTTTTCTTAGTTGAACGAAAGGCGGATTTGATACCAATTTAATTTAGCCCGAATATACGAGTACTTGGATTTTTACTGACTTCAAGAAATACATTCTTGTAAAAAATTAGTTCTAGAATCAGATTTTTATTATAGATTTCAAGAGATTATTTTCCACAGTGTATACCCTATGTATATATACGAGTTTTTTATTTTTTATTTTACTCAAACATTCAAGCAATATAATTATTTGGAATTAAAAAAAGGGGGCCAATCGCTTACTGAAAGTGCTTTGATCCCATTCCGAGACCTAGATTAGCTGACCCCAGAGTCCAAGCCTCGCAACGGTGAATATTGCATAATTCAAGAGACTCCGGGGCAGGATAGCACCAACACCCAACCCCCGTCAACCTTCGACCCTCGACCCTCTACCACGCATTGCATGTCAAGCGGAAATCGATTCATCGATCGCCAGCAAGAGGACATATGTACATATAAAGTAAATATGGTAAATCGGTTTGCCAATTGCAGTTGGCGAGCGTAATTAACGTTCTATTCCGGGCTCAGTCGGTTGCCGCTTAGCTCTATGTATTGAGGGATGGGTCTGCCACGCGGCGTATGCGCAATGCCGCCACCGTGGCAGGTGGCAAATGGTCATCTTTACTTACCTTTCGCCATCGTCGTTGAACGAAAAATCGCCCAGGAGCAGATCTCGGAACCGATAACGAGGTTGGATAATGCGTGACATGTTGCTGTTGCTGTTGCTGCTGTTGGTGTTGATGGTGTCGGTATTGGAGGTGTTGCTGCTGATGTTCGTGGTCGCTATGGGCGGCACCTTCAGCTCAGTGACAGCTGCCGTAGTCGTTGCTCCAGCCCCGCTAGCCGCGCCAGCCTCGCTACTCTCTTGAATATCACTAAAGTCTGTCACATTAATTAAACACTCATTGGGGGCTGCGTATCCGGCACCTAGCTGTTGCTGCTGCTGCTGCTGCTCCTGCTTTTGGTCCTGCTGCGGTTGCTGACGCCTTCGTCCTGGCAACGACCCACCGACGAGCTCATCGTCACGCGGCGCACTTGTGCCCGTCAGCAAGTAGCCGCCACTGGCCCGGTTGGGCCGCGGCGAGCGGAGGCGCGTCCACAGATTGGCGAGTGTCCTTCTGTACGCACAATGCCCCAGACCCTTGCGTGCTCCGCGCACCTGGAACCACTTCACAATTCACAGGGCCCTACCGCTGACGGCTCTTTAATTAAACTGATTGCACGGGCAAATTTATTGGCATACCAACAATCTCGCGACAGGTGCTTGCTCAAATATCGATCCCAGCTCGGTCATGGTTCTGCAAAATATTGAAAGAAACAAAATGTTACTCCATTGCGACGTTAAGCAGGAACGCTGATGATGATTTTCGAAAGGTGATGTGGTATTGAAATTACTAAATGAATGCATAACCGTTTTCAGAGGCACTCGCTTTGTTGTGCTCCTATTGTTGCGCTCGGCCCCTGCCGTGCTGAAAACCCATTCATCTCGACCTATAAATCTCGACTGTCGGTGCCGCATTCTCGTCAAAGAGCAACAAATTCAATTCAAACAACACACTTAAACAAGGACAAAGGACGAAGGACTGCGAAAACAAACAAGCACACAGACAGTTGGACATATGAGTGTGGGTGGGCAGGAGCCTCAGCATCGGGCCTATTATTTACAGGCAGGCAGCCAAATCAAATCATCTCTCAGACAATGGACGGTAGGAGATGCTGGCAGTGCTGGCTACCACTTGAGCCACTCGCTCTACCACTTGTTGTTGTCTGTTTGTGAAAAATTTACGCGATTATTGCCGCCAGGCGCTGCCGCTAGAGAACGAGCCGCCAGCCCCGAGCCCGAGCTGGCTCAGGTGCGACGTGCCGTACCTTGCCGTACCTTGCCGTTCCGGTGCCTGCTGGAAAGCGCTAAATAAATTTCCCGTGCGTTTGTTTCGCACATTAATTAGATTTGCTTGGCAGTGTCCTTCTTCCTTTCAAACCTGTCCTCTCCATTCTTCGGCATATTTATATGCCAGCGAAATATTTTACTTAAAGTGTTTTTTAATTAGTTACAGCAAATTAGCGCTGGCGAAATTAACAAATTTGTATCCAGCAGCTGCCTTCGGTGCGGGTCTGGCTCCGTCATTAGTCACGGGAGTCGTTGGCAAATTAAATTTTCAATTAGATTTATAGTTTTCCCTTCGCATTAAAGTTTTAGTCCGCACAGGCGGAAGTTTCAAGCTAGTCCATGCAGAAAACAGATTGAGAAAAACTTCATAAAGTGATAAAGTGAAGCGTGGAATTACATATATTATATCGTATTCCAGATAGGAATGACTTGGATGATTGGTCCCCATTGGCGTTGGGTACATACGAATTAAGGAAACAAAAATTAAATCTATTCTATAAAATTATATCCCATACATTATCTAAACTCGTTATTTAATGCTATTAATTAGTAGCTCAAATTCGATATCTGACTGTTTTTCATATATGTAAATGGATGCTGTCGAAAAACTTGTAAACTACGAGTACAACCAGCAAATACTCTGTTAAATAAACATTTGAAAAGATTTTTCTATTTGCCAACAAATGGACAATTCGAATGAGTGTGGATATTGTTTTTGTATATATGTACACGTATTTTAAATATTGACTGTTTTTATGTAACGAAAGCGTGATTATATTTAGAAATGTAAATGCTGCTTTGAAATGCGTAAACGCAATCTTTTCGAGTAAATTTCTGCGATAGGAGGTAACGGATTCTACATCAATTTTACATGAATTCTACACCGCCAAATTCCACCCAAAAATATGCTTTACAAAGCAAAGAAATGCAACAAAGTTTAAGACATGATCGTGTCGTCAGACTGGTATTTACATGTAGAGCGCCTGTTATTTACATGTAGAGAATCGGAGTAAAATGTTGATTGAAGTTATTAGGCGAAAGAAAATCCAAAAAATATATATATTTTTGACAATCAGACACATCTTCGATCAAAATCGAACCCCTTAATTATACATAATCCATAAATCAGAACTGTTAACGAACTGTTTAAATACACATCACTTTGCAATAATCTAGTTTCACTGTTACTGCTGCATCATGTACATACATACATATGTACATATGTATTAGTAAACGGTTCAATTTGCTCGGATTTATCAACATTCTAATGAAACCCCACCAATGATTTGTTTTCGCTAGTTATGGGCTGTGTTGTTTTGTGTTGTGTTAAATGGATAATAGTAAATGGGGGATTTCCCATTTAATTTCTAATCATTATTTATGGGGATGCCACCGCATTAAATGAGTCTGCCCTTTGTGGTTCGAATTTGAGTATGGGCACAATGGGCTCGCAATACATAATATCTTAATTATGTTTCTGCCGGCACACAATGGGATGGCTGTGAGATGGATATTTTTGGGGTTTCTTGATTTATAGACGACTGACTCTGTGGGCCGAAAAGCGGACAGATAACAAATTATTGTTCGCCTTGAACAGGCAGGAGCCAAGGAGCGCCGACGGGACACAGTGCATCCATTATACTTCCAAAAAAGAAAAGTTTCATTTTGTTTACCGGTAGGGGATTGAGTTGGGGAGGGGGGAGGGCCTTTGGCTCATATTTTCTTCGCTTGTTTATGCGTGCTTGTGTGTGAGTTTTCATCAACAATAATTACCCAGACGCGCTCTCGAGCCTACCTACGCCTGGTCTCAAGCCTTTCGCGTGTCGTGTCTCTCTACGTGGACCCTAACCTGTTTGGCCTTAGTTTCTCATCATCATCATCATCATCAGGACCATGGCAGGGGGAGACATTTTGCTGTCTTTGTTTTTCTTGAGCTTTATTATTCTTTGTCCTACACAGTGTCCCACAAGAAGTCGCACAAGTTGTCTCTGGCACAAGTATTATCCAAGGGACCCCCGAGCTGCTAAACAAGTCCCACATCCGCGGTGGCGCCACGCTCTCCCACCTCTCTCCGTGCTTCCACTTGGTATTATTATTTTTTCGTAGCTTTATTTTCTTTTTTGCGGCACTTGGAATATTTTATAACAAAAACTTGACCCGCTTTCCGCATTTCCTTCAGCGCACACCTCTCTTCGTGTTCCCCTGTTCTTCATCAACCGCCGACTTATTGTTTTATCATTGTCGCTTCTTCAGCATTGCCTCTGTCTCCATTCCTCTTCCTCTCTCTATACATATATCTGCCTCTCTCTGCTCACATTGTCTCTTTCCCTCATTCCTTGCGTCCACCTCCCCTTTGGATTTGTTTAATCCCAGTTTTCTTGCATTTTCCTTTTTTTAAGCTGGGAAGCGACGCTTAATTAAAATTAACATTTCATGAAGGGCAGGTGGAGAGGTTGGGAGTAGAGCTTTCAAAACAGAAAATAAAATAAAAGATTGTTTAATCGTTTTATAAATATTTAAGGCTTATGCCAGG